GGCTATTCTATTCTATTCTATTCTATTCTATTCTATTCTATTCTATTCTAAATCTCAACAGCCTCTTTTCGGTTGGAGAAATTCTTTCTGGATAAACATTTTGCATAAACATTTTGTATCAAAGTTTTATTCAGAGATTTATGCCCTAATTGTGGATAAATTGGCATGGTTGAGAAAATCTTGGGGGACATTGCTTAAATGTGAAATAGATATACAGGCATGGGACAAAATCCTGCTCCTTCCATCTAAAATCTCTGTTTGTAACCGATTTAAAGAACTGCAGTACAAAATTTTGCACAATGTGTATATTTCTCCGTATATTTATAGTAAGTATAATATGGGAACATCTCCAAATTGTCTCAAGTGTAAGGTCAGAGTGGGCACTAGATTCCATTGCTTGTGGGAATGCGCTATTATTCAGTCATTTTGGAAAGAGGTCTGCGCCAATATTAGTACAGCCATTGGTCATCAGGTGACAGAAAACCCATTAATGTGTATATTGGGATATATTCCTGTCTCACTGGTACAACATGAGCATGTAATTCAGTCACTGTTAATGTTGGCCAGGAAAAGTATTATGCTGAGATGGGTGGGGGCTGAGCCTCCCTCCATTTCTCTATGGAAGTCGCTCATCATTGATGTTATGACTCTGATCAGGTTGGGACATTATATTGATGGGAGCTCCCGAATTTTTGTGGACAAATGGAAGAAACCACTGGAAGCACTGGGAGTAACCTGTAAACTGGATCCTAATAGACAACAATTATGGACATAATGTTGTAATACTCTAGTGCTGTGCAGTGTTATTATTTTGGATGTGAACCAGTCTTGTATTTGTTGGGGAAAAAGTTAAATAAAAGTTGAAAAAAAGAAAAAAGAAAAAAGAAAAAAAGAAAATGCTGGGCCAAAATGAACCAGAACCGTGACAGTAGGACCAGATTTAAAATAGCATGACAAAAATATCATATACGTTAAAGCCAAACAATATCATCAACGTCGCCTGGACAACAAGATGAAGTCATTGTCATGGTCTCCGTGCCTGCCCGGCCGGCCCCACAAGGCTACATGTGCTGTTTTGGTTCTCTCTCTCTCTGCCTGGGCGGAGCTCACTGTGGGCTCCCGCCCTTGGCCCACACACCTGATGGCAATCAGCTGATTTCCCGACTACTATTTGAGGCTGGAACACAGATCCTCTCGTCGCTGGATGATTGTACTACTGACGTTAGTGCTTCTGCTGCTCCTGTGAACTTGTGCTTAGTAATTTGAGATTCGTGATTAGTTTGTGACTTCCCTTCTCTTCTGCTTCAGACCTTCCGCCCCAGACCTGTGACCTCCCTGCCGTGTGAACGTGTGTGAGTATGGGCAAGAAGACGTGAGCGAGTGTGAGAGAGCTACCCTGTGATTCCCTGGAGTTTTGGATTCCCTTCACTGTATATACTGTGCACTGGTGCTGTAAATAAACTGTTTTTTTGGAGACGTCTAACCGCTCTGCGCCTGAGTTCCTACAACCAGTTTGTGACAGTCATAGCTATCTGTCATGGGACCTGGGTCTGGGTGACCCCTTAGGATTTAGCTGTGCATGACTATGATAGAGATTTTTAATTTTTATTTAGGCGTTTCTGAAACTAAAAGGTGGAGCAAAAGAAGTTTTGTTTCAGAAAAAAGGGGGAAGGTAAATAAAATGACATACATAAGTACAAAATGCATGAATAGGAAAAGTTTTGGGGATTTAATTGACTGATGCATTTTTCTTTTGTTACCAAGTTGAACCTGCCAATTAGATTAGGTGTGTTTTATTTTTTAGAGAAGGAATATTCTGGGACAAGTCCTAAGACTACGATTTTATATATTTGGATATTCTGGTATTTTTATTTTTGAACAGAGCACTGAAAGTTTTGTTTGACAATTTTCTCTCCGAAAAAGCATATCTGCCCGATTGGATCTGAAAGCACTATACAAAATTTTTGCTTGGAAAATTATCGCAAACTGAGCTTCTCCACATTACAACGGGCTCTGGAGAAAGTCACTTATTTGGGACGCAATCAGATAATGAGTCCCTGCCTAAAATGATTCAGTGAGGTAATCCATTCTAAAATTCTTTTTTTGTTCTTTTTTAAATGTCGTCATATTGCTGGCAATAGAAACTTAATGCGACACAAGAGGTTCTGCTATCAGCAATAAACACGGGGACTGACTGGACTGACAAAAACTTGACTGACTTGACACCAATATGCAAGATTGCACCTCCACCCACAGAGCAAAAAGGGTAGTGGATGTTTCTTCTTCTTCTTCTTCTTCTTCTTCTTCTTCTTCTTCTTCTTTTTTTTTTTACAGGAACGGGAGGATGAAAGCAACATCTTAATTTTGCATGAGCTTGTAGGCCATGCAGATCTTTTGGTTGCCAGTTTTCTGTGTCTATTTACAAGCAGTTAAACAGATTTTATCTCAGGAAGTGAGGAAAGCATTCACACCAGGAGAGTCTGGTCAGGTTTAGGAAACCAGTTATGCCCTAGGATGAAGGAGAGAGATCAAAAGGGGGATTGTTGAGAATAGATTCCTTAATATAGATCAGAGTTAAAGAGAATATAGTTTGTGATTGCTTGCAACATTATAATATTGTGGTTAATGAGTGTAAGAATACAAAATAGAAAATAGGCCTGGGATGGGAACAATGAACTGAGGTGCAGGGCAGAAGGACAATCAACCCCCACCCACAGGACAGTAGCAAGAGTTACTGAGGGTGAGGGGCAGACAATGGCCAATGGACATTTCCTAAAAAGGAGATGGGGGGTCAGGGTGTCAGCACCCTTGGCCACTGTACTAGTGTATTTCCATTGTAGGGGTGTTTACTGTAAGGGGGGAGGAGATCAGCGGTTATAACTGTAACTGTTGTGTGGAGTTCTTTAGATCAGCCTTTAGCATAGGACTGCATAGGATGCAGTGTGCTTATCTCCATATGCATCTGTAAGAATGATGGGTAATAAAAGTATTGTGTAAAACATGGAAACCTCCGAGCGGTGACGAGCGCTCCCGAGAGCGTTCCAGCGCTGAAGCTGGTGTTCTGGGAATCCATTGTACCTGACAAACCATCCTACCCGTTGTTTCTGCGCATGTGCACTGTTATGACCAAGATTTATGGTGTGCTATACAAGCTATCGCCAGTAGGGGGCACCACGCCCAGTTATGTGTGTGTGTAACTTCTGTGTTATGTAAAATAATAAAGAGAAGAAGTCTAGATCTCACCTTGGGTCAACACACATGATTAGTTCGTCACCAGGCCTCTGAAGAACTTCAGGACATGTTGATGAGCTAATTTAGCCATTTAAATCAGCTGTGTTGGTTCGTGGACACATCTAAAACCTGCAGGGACACCGGCCCTCATGGACTGAGATTGCCCACCCCTGGTATAAGCCCTAATTAGTGTACTGACACCACAGTAGATTCTCACAGTGGATCCTCCGACAAGCTCTCAAATGTCACCAGCCCAGAGTGGTAGTGACACCATGCTTCACCCTTGTACATCTCTGCAGGAAGAGACTGTTGAACAAGTTCTGGGGACTACTTTACCTCCAGAAACACTCCAGTCTCTTAAACCACCACCGTCTGACTGTACACAGGTTACAGAGTCTGTAAGACGTTACCCAGTGAGAGTCACTAAGCCACCCGCTCGCTATCGTGATGGGTGAGTGTACTAAGTAGTTCTGTGAGAATGTTGGGGTTCAGAGACATTCTCATCTAAAAACAAAGAAATTCATACAGAAAGCAACATTAGTTCCAGTTTTCATGAATGTTGTAATAAAAAAAAAGAAAGAAAGAAGAAGAAAAAAAAAGGTACTACTTGGGTTATGGGAAATGTTTTTGTGGGTGGTGCCACGGTTGCATAGCTTAGTGGGGAGGAGATGTTATGTATAAACCAAGATTTATGGTGTGCTATACAAGCTATCGCCAGTAGGGGGCACCACGCCCAGTTATGTGTGTGTGTAACTTCTGTGTTACGCAAAAGAATAAAGAGAAGAAGTCTACATGTAAATGTAAGTAGTAATAGACTGGCTTGTTTTTTTTGTGCATACATGTGTGAGGATGTGCTTGTTCTCCCAGACGAGGCATCTTTGCTTGTTCACGTGACCACACGTCCCTCTTTGTTTAACATGATGTTTTAATTACATTTAATTCTGGTTTTCGTGATCTTATTAAGAAAAAAAGCTGCCCCTAGTGTGTCTTTTTTATTGTTCATTTAACTACATTTTTGTGGCTCTAAAAACATCTTGGTCACAACATCTTCATCAGTCTGTTTTTATTTTGTATTTTTCTTTGGAAATCTCCTCTCATACATTTAAGCCTTCCTTCCTTTGGTTTGTTTAAAGTCAAGGATTTGAGATTTTTTTTAGCACAAGCACAACTTTATTGTGCATTAATCCTGTGGCAATGTTTAACACTTCAGTGTTTAATGTTAATGTTAGTGAATTAATGTATATGTTCCTCAGAGTCTCCACAGTGACTCGAACAAATATTTATTCTTTTAATTTGACCGTCAAAAACCATCAGAGAGTAAAACCTCATTTCACATAAAATTTTGTGAAATACACAAAGAAAATAGAAATAATCAACTACAGCATCTTCATAATGAGCTAAAACACTTTACTAGTGAATTAAAATATATTTTATGTTTCTTGTATGATTTTACTGATGCTGCATATTTTGAATATTCACACCATTTAAGTTTGATCAAGAAGCTGAATTTGCAGGTGGTGATTTTTAGTTCAGAAAATAAATGAGAAGTGGAGGACGATGAAGCAACTCTGTGGTTTTACCATCATTGTTGTGTACTGGATGCTTAAAAACAATCTGTCTACACCTGTAGTTATTAGAAATATAACATAGAACAATAAGACACTAAGAAAGTTATTGTACTTGTTAAAGAGCAGTCTGCAGAAAAACAGGCTCAGTGACACCATGAAGGTTAAAGCTGGTTTGAAATGACTGACACACTGAGACGTGAATGTTTGCTGAGCAAAGCTTTAATCAGAGAAGATTTCATCAGGCTTTAAAGACGCAAATGATGTAAAAACATCTATTCTCCATTAAAATGATGTAAATACAGACTGCAGTTTTCTGTTAACCTTCTCTTCAGCTAACAGTGACATTACTGGATCAGTTTTCCATTTGTCACTCAAAGTGAAGCTGCAAACGTAAAATAAAAGCACCAACAAACACATCAAAAGTAACACTTCACACCAATTATTCTCAATGAACGGTAAACTGATGGATGATTAACTTTCAGTAAATCATTTACCGCTAACAAAACAATAAATTAGATTTGATAATGTTTACTAATCATGTGTAATGTTGCAGGTGATTCTTACGTATGTATTTGGTTTCTGGTTGTTTGTTCGAATCCTCGGGGAGTTAAATAAACATAAACATTGAATGAAAGAGCACATAAATTGTGCTCTTTGAGGTGATTTTCTCTCAACTGAGCTGCATTACTTTAAAAATGAGAATAAAAATAGCGATAAGACAAATATAAACCTAGCTGGACCTTAATTAGCGGAGTTATTACTCATACAGTAAATTCCATGTTAGAGGCAGAAAGAGAACGAGCAGAGTGCGAGTGGACACTTTAGGTTCTGAAATGAAATTGAAACATTGATAATCTAGTGGACGATGCAATGTTTTTTTTCTCTTTTTTGTTTTTACACATGCCTTGTTCCATAAATGAGTTGGTTCATTATGAGATACAGTTTTGGTCAATCTGATTACCATCGAAGCATCTGACGCAACGGTAATTACCATATTTATCCCTGTAACAGCGAAATATGTTTTCGCGACCAATGGAGTTCCCAATATTTGTCAGGGCCTCTGTTGTACTGTGTTTTATTGCATCTGGATCAATGTCCTGCCCACGTGGCTTGAATATAACTTCAAACACAAATGCCTTTTCCCCCCAAACGTGTTTTTTAAAGAGTGTTTTAAGCCCATCAGTGATCTTGTAGTTTCCTTTTGGATCTGCACAGCTTGTTAAACATGGACTGGCATAAGAGAAGAAGACCAACAAATCACCATCCTGACCTTCAAGATTTAGATTCTGCAGAAGACGCCACTCTGCATGTTCAGCATATAGATATTTCCCATTGTTATTGGTTACGTCTTTCTTTGTGGCTACCACAAGTCTAGGAGTCGTGAGGATGTCGTCATTCCAGTTTGTCTGTGGGTTTGGCATCACCTTTGTGAGGTCATAAGAAAGTTGGTTTTGATTCTTCGGAATACTTGCAGCCACGGCATACATTGTATTTATATTGTACCTGTCACAAAAAAGAAACACACACAACCACATGAATGAACTGACACAAAGTTAAAATATAACCATGGAAAACTAAAAAGTTAATTCAGTTGCTGAGAACATAAAACATGATAATATCATTATTTTCAGTCAAGAAACGCAAGGTCATCTACATGTCCTCAGAAACAAAGCCAAGATGGATAGTAATGGAGCTGTAGTCCTCTCGACACTGCTCTGTTATCCTATCTTTATTTATTTACATAGAAATCCTTCAGAGAAAGCAAAGTGAAAAGACAAAGAGCAGCAGGAAATAAGAAGTGACAGAATAATTATCATAATCAGAGCAACAAAAATTATAGAGATACATGTTCAATCATCCAGGTAAGTAAATCCCCCAAAATTGATTCTGTTCATCTGGACGTTTTCAGTGGGAGAAACAAAATCATGTCTGTTCATTTTCTTCTTAAGAAAAAAACAGAAAGAAAAAAACAAACAAATTTTATTAAAAAGTCTAGTTTTTAATTTTTATTGCTAGTTTTATGGTTAGTTTTTTCCTAGTTTTAGTTTATTTTATTTTTAGTTAACTGTAATAACTCTGCTTGGAACCATATGTCATCACCTTCATAGCTCAGCTCTGACTGCACATAAAAACAAATGATTAAAAAAAAAATTAGTTTCAGAGACTGCAGAGGATGCTGACTTACTCGTATTTGATATTTGTTCTTATCTGTTTTACAAGTCCTTCAAGCTGTTTTTGATCTATTTGAGCCAAACTTCCAGCAGGCAGACAGAAGACCATCGTCACAGTGATCCACCAGAGACCAGCCATCTGCACTCAGAGTTTCATAACAGAGCAGAGTTATTGACATCTACACAGGCTGTTTCTCACATCAGCTTTTCTTCACTCATTCAGTAATCTGTATACACCATCAGTAGTTCATTTATCATCCACACAGTAAAAATTTGTAAAACAAAATGTATAGAGAGACTAGTAATCAATGCTACGATTTGTTAAAAAGTGAAAGAAGAAAGCTGTCTTCTCATGAAAAAGAGGTCTTTTTAAATGTAAATATAGCTTTAAGGTTAAAATTGCCTTTTCTTCCTCAGGACCTCCACAAACCCCTCACTCAGCCAACAGCTGATTCAAACCCAGAGTTTTTTGCTGTGGAGCACAAATACATTTAACCGGCTGTTACCAAAACATCTTCCACTGAGTGATTTAACATCAGCTGACCCTTATTTGCATGGACACTTTTCCTCACCTGAAGCTCGATGTGAGACTCTTAAAATGTCAGAATTCAGATATTAAAATAGAATTTAAGACTTTTTTGAATAAAACTTTAATGTGGTCACTACTCACCTTTGCTGTTTTGGCGTCCCCAAAAATGTCTGAATCAATTTTAGTAGAGAACAGTGTTTGGACACCTAAACCAGAGTAAAACCATGTAAAATCACTGTTTTATATCAAATCAAATACATCTGTCTTAAGTATCTCTTACCTGCAGACAAGTGAGCCGTTTGTCTGTTTTTAAACTTTTTTTTTTTAAATTGTTCAGAAAAAAAATAAAAACATTTATTTCAGGACAGGATTGTTCAGGTATCGGTTCGTCACCGGCAGTCACATCTGAAACACTCCTGTCAGTGTTTGACCAACATATCCTAATCTTAAGAGCCAATCACAGGGCAGTATCCATCCAGTGGGAGTAACAAAAAACTTCATTTAAAAACGAGCAGGGCTCCAGCAGCTGAGTTGCAAAGCAGGGTGACCTGGGTGAGATAAATCACTCCAAAAAAGGGCATGAAAGTGTTTCTAAGAAGAAAAATGAAGAAGACACAATGACAAAAAGGAGGCGGAGAATGAGCTCTCTGCTGCTGCTGCAGAGCAGGGTATGCCTGAATTAGAGTCAGAGATTCACACCTTAGCCACACAAACATCTCACATTTCAACTGAAAAATAAATTCATAACTAAGTTATTCAGACAGCCAAAGGTCCCCCAAATACATCGCACTATATTTGTGCACATGAAATCGTGCACGCTGCTTTGATGTCACGTCAGGCCTCTCACACACAGGTGATGGTGACCGAGTAAACACGGTTACAGGGGGGTTATTGGGTCATTATAACCATACAAATCAAGAATGTACCTCAGTACTAAAGCTTAGCACAAATATAATATGTATGTATATATGTGTACATTAATGTTGCAGTGCTGACAGGTTTTATTTCATGGGTCAATTACTCACTTATAACGGGGAAAAATGTGCGCACTCCACATCACTAAAGATACAATGCAATACAACTTTATATGCAGAGCACATTTAAAACCAGAGGTGCCCAAAGTGCATCACAAAAGATATGGAAGAAAAAAATGAACCCTTCATTTAAGCGCATTTTATGCAATATCTCAATTTACATTTTGCTGTGCTATTTAAATATATTTAAACATATAAATAAAATACCTAAATATCATGATAAAATACAGTCTGACTGCATTCTTTGTACAACTAGGACAGGAGAGAGAACACGAAGCGAGCTAACGAAATTAAATTAAAGAAAACACCAAAAGACAAGACAGAGTTTAAAAGAACTGTTATGGCACAGCAGAAGCAGGTGCCCTGAGACGAGGGCTGGTAAAGTTTGAATATACCTATAACTACTTCATCAACATCAATGTTTCTACCTTTGGCTTATTTTTATTTCAGGATCATTCTAAGAAAAACAGCCGAACACACCTGATTTCAATCTTAAGGTAATTATTTATTTATTTATTTATTTTTTTACTACAAAATATTGTAAATAACTCGTCATTTATGGGCGTCTGGAACATCATCGACTGAGATCAGTGTTGTTTTGGTGCACAGGAAACTTTTCCTCTTCTCTATCTTGTTGTGTTAAACCACTCAATCCTGCAGTCATGAGTAATGTTGCATCTTCTTTAACTCACTTTGTGCGAGTTAAATATTTTAAGAATAGTTGATTGATGTAGCACTTTGTAAACATTAACTATGTTTTATCAGAACCTTTAATTCTAGTTAAAGCTCAGCAAATATAAATTAATCTTTCTTAATGATGAGCAAAATATGTCCTTCAAAAGCTGGACAGGACATAACAAAAATGTACTTTATGACTAAACACTGCAGGGTGAACACACTGTTATCTTGTTGTAAAAGACACAATGTTTTACTGATTCATTACCTACTGACATTGTAGGATTGGTTTTGATATTGAAAGATATGAAACCTAAAAAATGTCTAAGGACACGGGGAAAGTCTTGAAACATCGGCTTTTTTAGAGACTCTTAAAGGCAGCTGTGCTTCAGAGGAGAAATTTCTTTTCACAATTTCAGAACATCCCACAGCATTTTTACATTCTCATTGTGTCATTACCACAATGACTCTATTTTTATGGGTTTTTACACAGTGCCACGCATGTGGGGGTGTCGAGTGGTGTCATGTTAACGATCCATTCAATTTAATTTATCTTACATCCAACGAGGGCTTCATGGTCAACTCAGAAAGTAAATTAAAGAAAGTATTGTCAAGAAAAAGAGAATAAGCTGCCAAGTTAGGTAAAAACATACTGTAGTGTTTATAAATCATGATGTTATTATTTTAGTTTGTTAAAAATTTCTATTCCTATTCTGGCTGAATTGGGCTTCAGTGTTTGTTTACAGCACAGCTCCCGAGCCACGTGGCAGCAAGTCAAAATTATGTTTCATCTCTATGTCCAGCAGCCTGTATTCAGTTTGAATATTGCTATAAAGAGATATCAATTTATGTCTTTCATTCACTGTAACATTTAACTTTTTGATGACAGCACAAAGACTGCAAAATGAAAACAGAGGGCAAGAGAAAGGGAGAGAGCAGGATGAAGGCAGCAAAAAGAGAGAAAAAAAGAGGTGAGAGTGGACATGTAGACAAAATCACCAAATAATCAAATTAACTCCTGTTTTACTTACATTCATTGATGATTATTTCACATAACTAATATTGTTATCGATTATGGATCCCCCCACTTGCTCTTATAAGAATTATTATAAGATTATATGGGATGTCCTGGCTAAAGCGGAACAGTTGGCAAGCCTACCAGTAGCACACTTAAAAATGTGAGTTGAAATTATAAACATAGCATATTGATATGAATGGCAGCATTTTACAGGATTCATGCTAAACATGGTTGAACAGGATGGTCTGCCACTATGCTGATGTGACGGAGCACAAATCGCTTCTCCATTCGTGAAACTGGGGTACATGATGCTCTGTGTTGAGTCTGCATATTAAAAGGAGGGTTTGTATGAATCAGAAATTTTGATATAAAACAACTCTATTACCAGTTTGCATCGTGTGCAGGTCTGTGTAGTAGCAATGTGATTTTCTAGTATGTGTACTGAACAATGCTACTTTAAGGGCTTGATGAATTGGTGAGCTGCCTCTATGTGATGAAGACACTGAAATAATGTTTTGCATGGTTTTTATCTTATTTGCTTTGTCACAGATGCTTTGTTCTTTAATTCCTTTAACTCCCGAGCCTTTGCCTCAGGTTTGATAATGTTGGGTTCAATATTGAGGAGGGGTAGAGGAGGTAATCAACTTCCATAATAACAACACTGGTCCGGCCGGGTGGAGTCAAACGATGATTTTAATGACACGCGTGGGAAGACCGCCGCTGTACGCAGACAGCGCCGATCCCCGACTTACAGAGCATAAGCAGGTGTTTTATACCTTTCAGGGCTTAAATTTACTACACCCTTAAACGTCACTCAGATACAGGTCATACATAGGTTTCAAAACCACAATGACTTAACACAGTTTAAAATAACATTGTCTCCGTCTCCACAGCAGATGCTTCCTGTCAGCCTTCTGACTTTCACTTCTTGTCTGGAAAATCAGACTGTTCCTCTTTTTGCAGAGGCAGCAAGAAACTGTTCCTCTTTTACAGAGACAATTTTAGAGTTACAAGCAAACATGATTAACCTCTCACCTATAAATGAAATAAAGTCTACTGTGTGTGTCAGCATGAACTGCACTCAGTTTCACCTTGTAACCTTTTCCACCAGACAGAAGGCCAGCACATACACATTTCAGATTATAACAAGCATTCAAAAGCATTTAAGATTATTGATTCAACTCAACAGTTTAGAGTGGTTATAACTGCACCTGTAATAAAGGCTAATTGGGTACCAATATGTTTAAACATCTGAATACAATATCAATACTGCAGATTGTATTATTAATGCAATGGTAATGATGATGATTATTAACAATAGCAGCAAAATATATTTCTAATTCCTCACAATAACTAATGACTTCGCCCTAAAACGGGTGGATTAGATTGAAATCTCGTTATTCACTCTGAATTATTCTTGGACACTAACAAATGCAAAAAAAGATTCATTACATTTGCAAAAATCATATTGTTTTTCACTTGAATTATGGGTTCTGTGTGTGGTAGAGTGTTGAAATGTGTGACTCTCTATCTCATTGTGTCAGAGGAACATTTAGGGACTCTAATTTACCTACCTGAGTGACTAAACCAGGTAGTGGAGCACTGCCGTGTAATAGGAAAGGACTGTAGATACTAAAGTGGAGCAAATATGACTTTTGCATTTAGGTAAAAGTAATTTACCTAAGGGATTGACTCCAAAATAAAATCTTTTATTTTGAAGGAGCATATCGGAAGTAAATGTCTGCTTGTTGTCATATCATTTTGAAATGTTTCCCGGAAGTGGCAGCGCTCATTTTAGAGGACTTGATTATGAGCTCGGTTAGCAGATGGATCCAGAAAGTCCTCCAAAGTCCGGTTCTGTGGACAGAGCTGAGCTGGACCGACACTGTCAACCACCGGATGTTGACTTAAAGACGGAACTGGAGTCGAGAAACGAAGGTGAGTTTACTCCCCGCTACTGGAAACAGACTCACTGATGCTGATAAGCTAACGCTAGCATCGCGCTAGGTCCTCTCTGATGGTATGTCACCTCCACTTAGCTCCTCCCACCAGCGCGCAGAGCAGGTGAGGAGACAGGAGAAAAGCTGATCATCCAAGAACAAAACGCTTGAGTAAATACGACGATTTTTTTTTGTAAAAAATAAATAAATAAATAAATGATCAACATGCACTAAATTAAAAAAATAAAAAAGAATACGAACGGCGACTCGTTTTTTGTAAAGATGTTTTTCTCAGAGGTCAAAGATCATGCAAACAGTACACACATCTAAACATGTAAACAAATAAAACATTAACAAGACCGTATGAACTACCTGTAATCAAATCACTGAGCAATTACTAGGGCTGGGTATCGTCACTCATTTCTAGAATCGATTCGTTTCCGATTCACAAGGTTCCGAATCGATTTGATCCACTATTCCGCGCTGTGTGTTTACATATTTGTGCAGAATCCGTGTTTCTGCTCTCATTTACTGACTTAGCTGTTTGGTGGTTGTTGAAATTTTGTGAGGTTTCACCTGAGATTCTGGCATTTTGGGCAAAATAAATTTCTAATAAAAAATCGATTCAGGATTTTAATGAATCGATTTCACGTTATCCAAGCCAGAATCGATTTTAATCGATAAATTGATTATAAAAACCCACCCCTAGTAATAACCAGGTGAATCACTGAATCTGGACAACAGTTGCCAGTAGCAGCTAGTCCCTGTAGCTGAAGGTGAAGGGTGTGTACTCCTCAGTGTCCGCTCCTCTGGGGTCTCCTGGTGTAGATTCATTTCTTCCATAAAATATTTTGTCATGCTCAAAGGTCCTGGTGGAGGCTTTTATTTATTTTACTGAAAAAATTAAGTTTTTCATTGAGAAACCAGCACATTCTCTCTCCTTACTTGTTTTTTATGGGCGCTTGGGTCAGGAACTGCAGTCAGACACCTGTCAGGTGGACTGATGATGACAGACTATCAGGTTTTTTGATTCTTTATTTAATAGAAAATAATTTAAATTATTTAATCTCTTTCAATGTTTAATGAACCTGTTTTGACTCTTAGAATGTTTTTGAGTTTGGATTAACTGGTAGTGCTGCCACTTGGAGCTTTATTTTGAAAGGTCCTGCCTGTAGCATCTGTGTGATGATTCTCTCAGTTAGTGACAAATGTTTTGGCTCTGGGCCTTTCCAAACTGCACAGAGCTTGCTTTTTTTGACTTGGTTAATTTGTTAAATATTTCCTCCTGGTGTTTTGAAGAGTGACACTGGGCACGTTTTTGCTTTGCTGTATTCACAAAATAAACTACAACTTTGTTCTAGAACCTGTAATTCCAGTTAATAAGCTCAGCAAATATAAATTAATCTTTCCTAATGATGAACAAAATATGTCCTTCAAAAGCTGGACAGGACATAACAAAAATGTACTTTATGACTAAACACTGCAGGGTGAACACACTGTTATCTTGTTGTAAAAGACACAATGTTTTACTGATTCATTACCTACTGACATTGTAGGATTGGTTTTGATATTGAAAGATATGAAACCTAAAAAATGTCTAAGGACACGGGGAAAGTCTTGAAACATCGGCTTTTTTAGAGACTCTTAAAGGCAGCTGTGCTTCAGAGGAGAAATTTCTTTTCACAATTTCAGAACATCCCACAGCATTTTTACATTCTCATTGTGTCATTACCACAATGACTCTACTTTTATGGGTTTTTACACAGTGCCACTCATGTAGCAGTGATAATTATGTTTTTGGTCGAATTTATGTGTGCATCCCTGCACATCATTTTGTCTGTAAACACAATAGTTTGAAAAGCTGTGAATGAATCCTGATAAAACTTTGTAGGGGTGTCGAATGGTGTCATGTTAACGATCCCTTCAAATTTATCTTACACCCATCGAGGGCTTCATGGTCAACTCAGATTTATATGCAACAACTGACAAAAAGCCTTATAACTCAGAAACTATGACTCTTAGAAGTGTTTGTTGTCAATAAATAGAAACTTTGTCATATTTAACCTCTGACCTCAATTTTACATTTCACATCTGCCTTTCTTTTACGTTGACCCCAAAATGTCTTCAATCGTTAAAGAAAGTATTGTCAAGAAAAAGAATAAGCTGCCAAGTTAGTTAGAGACATACAGACAGATAGATAGAACTAGCTAGGTTCTTCTAAATGTCTGTTGCACAGTGATGAGTTCTTATTTAGTGTTTGGTTTGTGCAAACACTACAGCTTAGTTTATAAATAT